AACAACCACTCACCCTCACTACTCACCCTCACCACTCATCCTCACCAATCACACCCTCACCAATCACCACTCACCCTCACTGCTCACCCTCACTGCTCACCACTCAACCTCACCCTCCCCACTCACGCTCACCCTCACCACTCACCCCTCACTAATCACCACTAACAACCGCCGCTCACCCTCCCCTCACCACTCACCCTCACCACTCTCCCTCACCACTCACCACTCTCACCATTCACCCTCACCATTCAGCCTCACCACTCACCCTCACCACTCACCGTCACAACCACCACTCACCCTCACCACTCAACCTCACCCTCACTACTCACCATTCATCCTCACCAATCACCACTGACCAATCACCACTCACCACTCTCCACTAACCCTCACCACTCAACCTCACCACTCGCCCTCAAAACTAACCACTCTCTCACCACTCACCCTCACCACTCAGCACTCACCCTCACCACTCACCCTCACCACTCACGCTCACCACTCACCCCTCACCGCTCACCACTCACCCATCACCACTCACAACCGCCACTCACCCTCACCACTCATCCTCACCACTCACCCTCACAACAACCACTCACCCTCACCGCTCACCACTCACCCTCACCACTCACCCTGACCACTCACCACTCATCTTCACCAATCACACCATCACCAATCACCACTCACCCGCACTGCTCACACTCACCACTCACCACTCACGCTCACTCTCACCACTCACCCCTCACTAATCACCACTCATAACCGCCACTCACCCTCACCACTCACCCTCACTACTCACCACTCATCCTCACCAATCACACCCTCAACAATCACCACTCACCCTCACCACTCACCACTCACCCTCACAACAACAACTCACCCTCACCACTCACCACTCATCCTCACCAATCACACCCTCACCAATCACCACTCACCCTCACCACTTGCCACTCACCCTCACCACTCACCCTCACCACTCACCCTCACCACTCTCCCTCACCACTCTCCCTCACCACTCACCAGTCACGCTCACCACTCACCCTCACTACTCACCACTCACCCTCACCGCTCACCCTCACCACTCACCCTCCCCACTCACCCTGACCACTCACCACTCATCCTTACCAATCACACCCTCACCAATCACCACTCACCCTCACTGCTCACCCTCACTGCTCACCCTCACCACTCACCCTCACCACTCACCACTCACGCTCACCACTCACCCCTCACTAATCACCACTCACAACCGCCACTCACCTTCACCACTCACCCTCACTACTCACCACTCATCCTCACCAATCACACCCTCAACAATCACCACTCACCCTCACCACTCACGCTCAACACTCACCCTCACCACTCATGCTCACCACTAACCCTCACCACTCACCCTCACCACTCACTAATCACCTCTCACAACCGTCACTCACCCTCACCACTCACTCTTACCTCTCACCCTCATCACTCACCCTCACCACTCACCCTCACAACAACCACTCACCCTCACTACTCACCCTCACCACTCATCCTCACCAATCACACCCTCACCAATCACCACTCACCCTCACTGCTCACCCTCACCGCTCACCACTCAACCTCACCCTCACCACTCACGCTCACACTCACCACTAACCCCACACTAATTGCCACTCACCCTCACCACTCACCCTCACCAATCACCCTCACCACTCACCCTCACCACTCACTACTCACCCTCACCACTCACCCTCACCATTCACCCTCACCACTCACCCTCACCATTCACCCTCACCACTCTCCCTCACCACTCTCCCTCACCACTCTCCCTCACCACTCACCCTCACCACTCACCAGTCACGCTCACCAGTCACGCTCACCACTCACCCTCACCACTCACCCTCACCGCTCACTACTCACCCTCACCACTCACTCTGACCACTCACCACTCATCCTCACCAATCACACCCTCACCAATCACCAATCACCACTCACCCTCACTGCTCATCCTCACTGCTCACCCTCACCACTCACACTCACCCTCACCGCTCACCCTCACCACTCACCCTGACCACTCACCACTCATCCTCACCAATCACACCAATCACCAACCGCCACTCACCCTCACCACTCACCCTCACCACTCACCCTCACTACTCACCACTCATCCTCACCAATCACACCCTCAACAATCACCACTCACCCTCACCACTCACCCTCACAACAACCACTCACCCTCACAACAACCACTCACCCTCACTACTCACCCTCACCACTCATCCTCACCAATCACACCCTCACCAATCACCACTCACCCTCACTGCTCACCCTCACTGCTCACCACTCAACCTCACCCTCCCCACTCACGCTCACCCTCACCACTCACCCCTCACTAATCACCACTAACAACCGCCGCTCACCCTCCCCTCACCACTCACCCTCACCACTCACCCTCACCACTTACCACTCACCCTCACCACTCACCACTCACCCTCACCATTCACCCTCACCACTCTCCCTCACCACTCTCCCTCACCACTCTCCCTCACCACCACCACTCACCCTATTCCCGTTTTAAAAACGTACGTGTCGCCAAGTATGCTTGAGGGTGATTGGTGATTGGTGAGGGAGAGTGGTGAGGGTAAGTAGTGAGGAATAGTGGTGAGGGTGAGTTGTGAAGGTAAGTGGTGAGGATGAGTGTGAGTGGTGAGTGGTCAGTGATAGTGAGTGGTGAGTGATAGTGAGTGATAGTGAGTGGTGAGGGTGAGTGGTGATGATGAGTGAGGGAGAGTGGTGAGGGATAGTGTTGAGGGTGTATAAATGTTTTGCCTATGATGACAGCAGTACATGCTGACGTTTTGTATGTTAAATGTAAAAGCTAAATGTGTGAATGTGTGTGTCGGAAATGTTAAGCAAACGTGGCGACACGTAAGTATATTAAACGGGAATAGGGCGAATCTAAAGGAATCTACAACCTTCGATGATTCCTTTGCACGATTCAAAGAATCGATTCCTGGCGCGTAGGAGGTTTCCATTTTTAATTACAGAGTTTTATTTTCATTGGTATGTTATGTTTTAAAGTTTTCAGGAGTTTTTTATAATATTTTTGCCCCGGTCAACGCCGGATATTTCCCATTCGTAGCAGTTTATATCAACTCTATAACCAACTTATATTAAACGGGAACAGGGCGATTCTAAATGAATCTACAACCTTCAATTTCTTTGCGCGATTCAGAGAATCGATTCTTGGCGCGGTCGGTTTTACATTTTAAATTACACAGTTGTATTTTCATTGGTATGTTATGTTTTAAAGTTTTCAGAAGATTTTAAATGTATTTTTCCCCCGGGCAACGCTGGGTATATCGAGTTTATACCACAAAGTCGTCGCCTGAGACGTGTGGGGTGTCGAGGCCTAGTACCGTGCAGAGCCTCCGGCCTCGCCTAGATTTCCCACCCGGCCGAGGCTGGGTGCTGTGGTCGTTCCCCCCCCCCCCCCGCGCTACAATAATACTGTCTAATCGCTATGATAGTAATTGCACACATTGGGGTGGGGGGGGAGTTAAGAGGACGTTAAACTTTGATGAATTTACCTCAGTGTCGCGTGTTAATGCGTGCGCATATTTTTTACGGGAATTAAAAATGGCGTCCACTGCGCAGCGACAGCGTTGCTGCCCGTTGCCAGGGGCCAACCGCCCGTTGCCAGGGGCCAACCGCCCGTTGCCAGGGGCAACCGCCTTCGCGCATGCGCACTAAATCGATAATCGGTCCGATTTAAAGTTTAGAGACGAAAAATCGGAAATGCCTAAGTTTACCGCGGGGCCGGGGGCGTGCCCACCTGCAAAATTTAATCTCGGCGAACCCCATGGTCCGAGATCTAATTCCCCCGGAAGCGAGCGTACGCAGACGGACAGACGGACAGACATACAGACAGACAAAAAATGAATTATATAGGTTAGATAGGGTGGTTTATAGCAATACAGTATATAATTTAATGTTGGGTTTGTCTATGGCAGTATATAGTATGGTGTAGACTCGTGTGATGTAAGAGAATAAAGCTTAGATGGAAGCATATTATATTTTTTACGACGTAGAATTGTAATGTATTACTTACTGTTAGTAACTCAGCTTATTGTAGAGTATATTTAGTATACTGATGATACTATGTAGTTTATACTTTAGTTGTTTACGTGGTGGTTTTAGTTACTGCAGCTACATACTATTAACACTCCTTCCCTTTATTAATGCTACCCCTATCCCCTCCCTTTGATGCTGCTAATCCTGCATAATGCACGGGCATAAGTAGTACTAATCACATACCTGCATTTCCCATATCCCCTCCCTTTGATGCTGCTAATCCTGCATAATGCACGGGCATAAGTAGTACTAATCACATACCTGCATTTCCAATATCCCCTCCCTTTGATGCTGCTAATCCTGCATAATGCACGGGCATAAGTAGTACTAATCACATACCTGCATTTCCCATAAATATGCTAAATTCCTCTTGATATGCAAATTATTTTGTCAAGGCGCCCTTTCCCCCCCTTCCAACCCAGCTTAAATATATGCTTCAAGCATGGTGCTGTTTCATTCAGACGCTGTCGCCTCGACAGACCTGGTTTTCACCTGATGACGGCTGCTTGCGTTGTGGCCAAAACGTCGTGAGAATTATTTTATTATGTTTTATTTTTATTATTTTATTACCTCCCTTCTACGTGACTTTACCGAAAGAACCAAGAAGATGAATCCCTGCAGTCACGAAAGCTTTAAATCGAAATGTGGAAGGTATGTTTAGCATAATAATAAAGATTAAATAATAATTCAGTTACCTAGTTTTCAAGTTCCTTGGTATATTAAAATGGGGTCTATGCAATTAACATAAAGTACTATTTAACAGAGATGCTACATTTAGTGCTGTCTTCGTGTTGGTTTCCAGCATTGAGTTTAACACGGCAATTATATTCCGTAACTGTGTATTTATTTTAATTTTGTAGTAACAAGCTAAGCATGCCGTTGTGTTTATTCAGGCTATGAACGAGAGCTCACGTACAGGAGAAGTGATGGCTCCTTCAGTGCATTTGGAAACTATGATCAACAAGGCAGTACATGGTAATAGCCTACAGCTAAGAAACTAATACAGTGGTCTTTCAGTTTTACTTTATTTTTCATTCTCAACTGGTTTAATTAAATGAAGTTTAAAAAAATATTCTGTATTTTATGCTTTCATTAAAGTTGTTTTACTTGTCATTTTGTTTTTAATATTTTCCCTTTTCTGTTGTGTAATCTTAAACATTGCAATACATTGAACAGTTATATAAACTGAAAAAAATTAATTTGTGTTACGTAAGTTAGATGACCAACAAAATACAATGGTTGAAGGCTTATTTTTTCCAATGTTTGGATGCAGTACTACAATTGAAACCACTTATTTTTTAAACTGTTTATTACACATTCATATAATCGACCCATGTTTCTGTACACGGTCTTGATACTAAATCTTGGCAGCCACATCATGTATGCTGCAAACTCTGTTAACAGAAACGTGAAACAGGAATACATATTCTTTGGGTCTTTTGGTAAAGTCTCGTAGATAGAATACATTTTAAGAAAACCATTCCTGGTTACAGTCTTAGCTGAAATACACGTGAGAGTATCACAAACATAGCTAAAAGTAACATCATCCTCTTATTCACATCTCTCAGGTACAAATCTGTAATGGGTGTTGTACCCCAATGGTACATTCACAGATCGTTCTAGACATAGCCTTTAGGTGATGTGCAATAACCTGCACCGAATGATAATTATTATCAGACACATGTGTAAACTTGTTTTTGGTTGGCACTTTCTAAAAAAAACTGTTCTTATCTGATAATTCCAAGCAAATATACCGGACAGTAGTCATGAATGCCACGATGGGCAGAATGTGAATCTTTCTCCTAAGTGTGTACACAGCACACATATGAACGTCAAACATCTTGTTTATTAGTTGTGCAATATTCCCGAAGAACCCTGTAGTCGTTCTCTCCAAAATTAATGTATTTGTTTTTCTTTGTTGTTACTCTGTTCATCCTCATAAAAAATGAAAATAAACTCAAAAACTTTAACTTAAAATATGGGATGAGGGCAAATACTGACTACCCTCTGAGGGTATGACATGTTTTCTTGGGCTATTGTCCCAAGTGGTATTTTTCAATGTTGTCTTTTTCTCAGAATAAGGTTTTATTTATACTGGAGGAACCCGATGAGCTGTAAAGCTTTTTTTCACAGATGTGCGGAAGTTTTCACAGCTGTTTGCATGTGTCCTGCGCTCTCTTTCCAAATCCTTAGGCTGACAGCGTTCGTGCTGAGGACTTTCCTGCAGGCACGGAGTTATATCCCTGTGGACAGCAATGTGATCGACACTGCTCGCAACTTTCTGCTGAACTCTTTGGCACCATCTGGTCAGTTCACGGAGCATGGCTACGTGATTCACAGGGAGCTGCAGGGCGGCTCTGCCAGCCACATCAGCCTGACAGCCTACACTCTCCTCGCCTTCCTGGAGGACAGTACGGTAGGCAGATGATGCACAATCAAAGTATGGGAATATTTGGTTGAGACAAAGATAAATCTCGTCTTCATTGTATGGCTGATGTAGATATAGAGCAACAAATAATTTTACATAAAGGTGGTTGACCCAGATAATTGCATCAGGAGTAGTATAATGTTTGACTATGATACCTCCTTATTTGTGAATCGGGCACTGAGTCCGTTATACGTTCCATGGTCTGTTCTGGTTGACCATAGTCGCACACTGGAGAAGTTAAAATTTTCTATTTGTGTATCAAGTCACCGCATCTGCCATAGCTGGTATGGATGTGGTTCTGGGTATCCCATATGCTTCATGGAATATTAAAGCCAGGGAATTTCTGCATCAGGTCTTTCATGAGGTATTTGTTTGTTTTATTGTGAACTCCATTCAGCTTTCTTAGCATCATCAGGGTTGAAATTGCATTTCTGAAGGTTAGGCACATGGGTCCAAAATGCTTGCATAACTTGACGCGGTCGTAAGGGACGTTATTGAGATCCTGGTGGAAGGGGAGACGTACTTTTTCCATGATTATCTTCACTTTTCCCTGAGGGTTGCAGCATCGCAGTGAATGGATCTGTGAGCAATTTGCAAAAACGTGGAAAATGTCAGGGTGTTGTGGCCATCTTGAGGATTCCAGTATTCAGATGGACATCAACAAGTCAAGCCTGGCTATTTCTGGTTCATCCCGGTGTACCGTATACTGCTAAGGAGTACACAAGCATCATCACTGCTGTATGAAACCCTGATGCCGATGCTCCCCAGCTTGTGCTTGGCAATTTCTGGACGAGGTTGACCTTTGTCTTCTTTTTAGCGGCTATCTTTTTCAGTTGGCCATCAAAGATTATCCTGTGGTGCAACTTTATTCCTATATAGTTCAGAATTGGGTAATGGTATACAGTTTTGCCAGAAAAAGACACTTTCAGGGTGCGCTTAGCATTTCTGTTCACAAGATGAAAGGTAGTGACTGTTGATTTGTGCAGGTTTGGTTTGAGCCTCCATTTCCAGAAATGTCCCTCCATGGTGTTTAGGTCCCCATTCAAGGTGGACTTGATGTCATTCAAGGTGGCTGCTTATTTTACCAGGGCAAGGTCATCTACGTATGCAAATTTGTGTAACTTTTTTGGTGACACACTCATGAAGACATTGGTGAGCATTTGTGAGCATTTAGCCTTGTTGCAGTCCATTGTTGAGGGACTGGGGTGAACTGCCATTGTCACCAAAAGGGACATGTACCTGTCAATTACTCAGCATCATCCATAGCAAGCAAAGTGTTTTGAAACAGTGGATGATCCTTGCGAGCTTCATCATCATGCTTTTAATCCAGACTGTGTCGTAGGCCAATGGGATGGTATTCCAAAGTGGAGCAGTTCAAGCAACTAAGTGGAAAGATAAGCGTTTTAACCTGCAGTATGGCGGTTGAACAGTACATGTTTACCTCGCTTTATGTGGGTTTGATTTGTACAATTTTACTTATGAGGCAAACTTTTTTCTACCCAAAATCGTTAAATGCGACTTGATTTCACTGATATCTGGCTATGCGGTCAAACGTGTGACAATAAAGTAGCTGTTATTTAATATATATTCAATTATTTCCAAATATTGTATAATTCTTGCTCGGGCTGTCTTTGTAATTTTACTTTGCATAGGCAGGTTATACGTTGTGTAAGTTATTACATGCAGTTATTAGGGCTTGTGGATGAGGTGGGAGGCGAGGGGTGAAATTGGGACCCCTTCTGTGGATGTTTCATTGTTCAGAAGGTAGTGTTCCTGATTTTACTTTTGACTTCAATGCCTCGAGGGTCACTTTAATATTTCTATCCCCTAGATAGTGCTACCTTGAGCAGGTGCCAACGGCACTCTTCTTAAAGACTCAAGTGTTTCACTTTCTCTTCCTCCTCCTTCTCTCCCTCTTCTCATTCATGTTTTTATTTTTCTTCCCTCTGTTTCTCTTTCCCATCTTAGATCATAACTCGGGGTTCCTCCAGATCCATTCGTTTATACTAATTGTGCTAACGCATGTATCCTGTTTCTGTTTTCTTGTTTATTTAGTGCAGTTAATACTGATCATAAAACTTACACATTACATTTTTCTTTTGCATGAGACTGCATAGGGTTTTGGTGAGATCAAATAACACAATGACAATGTAAGATTAATTATTGAATATCCTGCAGTGGTGATTAGCATGCATTGTTAGGGATCTGTATATTAGAGTGGTTGACCTGAACACATTGGTTAAAGGTGCTTTGCTTAGATTATCCCAAAATGATAATTCTGGTGCATGTGGATTACAGAATAACAATGTGAACATCTCAAGTGCTATCCACTTCCTGGAGGCGAATGTGAGTGGTGGCGGCGTGGCAGCCAGCCTGCCCTTGGCCCTCACAGCGTACGCCCTCTCCCTCGCCAACAGCAGCCACGCCGATACTGCCCTGACCCTACTCAACAGCCGCTCCACTTCAATAGGTCAGGCACTAATGCAACACGTGCCCACTGAACCCACAACTTCTGAATGGGTGATATTTTAGTTGCACGTCATAGAGGACCTGTCAACTCACGACTAGAGTGTGTTCCCAATAGGGTGTTATGCTTAACTTTTGAAAATATTCCAATGACTTATTTCTGTTAACCTGATAATATTGTCTCCTTCACATTTCTGTCTCTCCATATAAAACAATGAAATAATTTCTTACACAACCCATCAGCCGCATAACCTTCTGGGAGTGCATAATTTCAACAGAATTGAATCAAGACAAGCAAACTTTGGGCTGGTTTTGACATATGCGTCTCATCATCAGAGTCAGGGTGACAAGCTGAGTTTTGAGTAAAATACTAAATTAAATAAAAGCGTTAACTTGTACATTATATTCCAGAGAATGGGCTGAAGTTCTGGTCAGACTCTGCATCAAATCAAGAGTCCTACTACTGGCAGCCGTCGGCCATCACCATTGAGACCACAGCATACGCCCTCCTGGCTCATCTTCATCAGAACAAAATTGCAGAGGCGGTCCCTATCATGAATTGGCTGAGTCAGCAGAGGAACCACCTGGGAGGATATGCCTCCACACAGGTAACGATACTACCTGGGGAACATTCCTCTACAGAGTTGATTGAAAGTGACACAATTCATAATTGATATTTTAAGGGTTTTTTTTGTTGAAGGCAGTTGCGTGATAGCTGCGATAGCATGTCGGATTTGCAAGGAAGTGCAGCATACTTCAATATGGATTGCCGTTGATACGGCTATTTTAATATACACAATAGACAGGAAGGACAAGATCTAAGGGCTCGCATAATGCACATGCATAATGTACGTTGACTCGGTAATCCCCCTCCCCCTTTGCGTAAGAGCGCAGAAGTGTGATCACCACATCTACGCCTCTGTATAAGGAACGAAACAGTTAGGCTTCTCCACAAATCTGGCTGTCGCCTAGTTGTAATTACTGGCGAAATGTCGTACTCGCATTGTGAATGTTGTGGCTTGGCTCTCCAACACACCGGTGTGCTGTACTAGTGACAAATTGGCATGTTCTGTTTACCTGACAACCTTTACTAGTTAGCTGTGTTGGGTGGTGGTGGGTTTTAACGACACATTTATATATTTACCCGATCTAACCCAAAAAACCTCGATTATAGATGATATTGGTCACGAATGCCTACGTGTTAAATTGCAAGGAAGACCTGGAAAAGACAGAGTTAGGGTTTGAAAAAATGAATATGAAGATTGTAATTTTTTGTGAAAGGTAGCATATTTATGATTTGGTCTTATTTGGTTATACTATGTTGGCAGTGGTGCAAAAGGACACGTAACAAACTCAACACATTCATCAAAAACACTGCCTTATGAGGAAAAAACAATATATTAGGTGGCATCTTAGGGAATGGTCCTTCTGCATTCCAGATAGATAAAGGGCCATTGCCCAAAGGGTTGCCTATTATATGTTACCTTCGAGGCCAGTTTCATGATGAATAATTATCTACTAAGCAATAAAGTAAGTATGGACAATAAAGTAACATTGAATATACATTTTTTTATTTGTAATCGTATGTAATTCTGCACAATATCATCATTGACAGAATATGTTGTGTATTTAATTATACATTTAACATTTACATTTAGAAAAAATATAGTTGCCGTAAATAGGTCAACGTCATCTTCTTGGTTCTTTCGGTAAAGTCACGTAGAAGGGAAGTAATAAAATAATAAAAATAAAACATAATAAAACAATTCTCACGACGTTTCGGCCACAACGCAAGCAGCCGTCCTCAGGTAAAAACCAGGTCTGTCGAGGCGACAGCGTCTGAATGAAACAGCACACATGCTTGGAGCATATATATAAGCTGGGTTGGAAGGGGGGAAAAGAGCGCCTTGACGAAAGAATATGCATATCAAGAGGCATTTAGCATATTTATGGGAAATGCAGGTATGTGATTAGTACTACTCATGCACGTGCATTATGCAGGATTAGCAGCATCAAAGGGAAGGGATATGGGAAATGCAGGTATGTCATTAGTACTACTTATGCCCGTGCATTATGCAGGATTAGCAACATCAAAGGGAAGGGATATGGGAAATGCAGGTATGTGAATAGTACTACTTATGCCCGTGCATTATGCAGGATTAGCAGCATCAAAGGGAGGGGATAGGGGTAGCATTAATAAAGGGAAGGAGTGTTAATAGTATGTAGCTGCAGTAACTAAAACCACCACATAAACAACTAAAGTATAAACTACATAGTATCATCAGTATACTAAATATACTCTACAATTAGCTGAGTTACTAACAGTAAGTAATACATTACAATTCTACGTCGTAAAAAATATATAATATGCTTCCATCTAAACTTTATTCTCTTACATCACACGAGTCTACACCGTACTATATACTGACATAGACAAACCCAACATTTAATTATATACTGTATTGCTATAAACCACCCTATACTGTCGACTATACATTGTAATATTACACTATGTATTATTCTACCCACCCTAATGTATATCACACTGCTGTATATTCACTATACAATTACGATACTATATATTACTTTGTACATTGTATTAAGCATATAAATGTTATACTATTTGTTATTATACACTGTAACATTGACCGTCGTGTGAAAGATACTAAGAGGAAGCAACGAAATTGCAGCGGTGCAAAGAATCCATTCCCTGCAGAGAATACAATGCCAGTGAGTGGAACGCGGTCTAAAAGTCACCGTAAACGTGAACACAATCAGTTAAGATCTGAAATGGTTTATTACGTCCTTCCAATGATTGCTAAGCCAGAATCCATTTTCTCGGTTGAAATTGTCTCTGTGTTTGTATATGTGGATCGCCTCATGAATGAATTTCTCATGGTAGCCAGATGGCTTGCAGAGAACCTCTGTCTTGGAGAAGTCAATATCATGTGAGCCCACTGAATTGTAACAGTGATCTGCCACGGCTGAGGTGTTAGTCCTACCGTGTTTCAAGTCTGCTTTATGTTCACGGATGCGGTCCGAGACATGTCGTTTGGTTTCTCCAATGTAACTGCTACCACAGAGGCAACTTAGTTTGTAGACGCCAGGGTACTTACTGTATGTCTGGAACCACATCTTTTACAGACGGGACCAGATCACGGATTTTATGTACTGTGTTGAATCGGACCTGGATCTTGTGTTTTATCAGGATTTTGTAGATCTTTTTTGTGACCCCAGCAATGTAGGGTAAGGTGATGGTCTTGAAAGGCTCCTCAACATGATCCTTCTTGATGGTTGGAGTGATGGCTTTGCGGATTGTGTAGTCGGAGTAACAATTAGCCTTAAGAGCTTGGCGTACGTGTTTGAGTTCACTGGCAATGTGTTCCTGGTCGGATATGCATTGGGCTCTATGGTATAGAGTCTTGATGAGGGAATTCTTCTGGAATGGATGGTGGTGGGAATCCGGTTTTAGGTAAGCATCCGTATGGGTGGCTTTCCTGTAGACAGAGTGACTCATTGAACCATCAGGTCTCCTTTTAATTAGGACATCCAAAAAGGGTAGCTTGCCATTTTTTTCGACTTCCATGGTGAATCTGATGGCTGGGTGTATGGAATTGATGTGGTCGAGAAATTGGTCTAGAGCAGGCCGGCCATGTGGCCAGATGACAAAAGTGTCATCTACGTACCTCTTCCATAAGGTCGGGCGTAGAGTGACAGTCTGGATGGCGTCAGTCTCAAATTTCTCCATGAACACGTTGGCTACAACCGGAGATAGGGGGGAGCCCATTGGGGTGCCCTCAGTTTGCTTGTAGAAAGTTCCATTCCAGGTGAAGTACGTATTGGTTAAGCAGTGTCTCACCAGGGGGGGGGGGTACCCCAGCGTTCAGTCCTTGATGAACCAAGTCTTCAATGATTGCGATGGTGTCAGGTACAGGAACTTTGGTGAATAAGGAAACCACGTTAAAACTGACAAGCAGGTCGTCTGGGGACAGGGAAATCCCTTAGATTGTCGATACCAGGTCAGTAGAGTTTAGTACCGCAGAGGTGGTTTTTCCAGTGAAAGGCCGTAGGATTTCAGACAAAAAACGAGCCAGTTTGTAAGTGGGGGAGTTTATGGTAGAGACAATGGGACGAATAGGTGTATCTTCTTTATGTATCTTTGGCAAGCCGTATAATCTTGGTGGCCTGGCTGCAGGTTTCAGACTGCCACTCTACGCCTGACCTTATGGAAGAGGTACGTAGATGACACTTTAGTCATCTGGCCACATGGCCGGCCTGCTCTAGACCAATTTCTCGACCACATCAATTCCATACACCCAGCCATCAGATTCACCATTGAAGTCGAAAAAGATGGCAAGCTACCCTTTTTGGATGTCCTAATTAAAAGGAGACCTGATGGTTCAATGAGCCACTCTGTCTACAGGAAAGCCACCCTCACGGATGCTTACCTAAAACCGGATTCCCACCACCATCCATCCCAGAAGAATTCCCTCATCAAGACTCTATACCATAGAGCCCAATGCATATCCGACCAGGAACACATTGCCAGTGAACTTAAACACGTACGCCAAGCTCTTAAGGCTAATGGTTACTCCGACTACACAATCCGCAAAGCCATCACTCCAACCATCAAGAAGGATCCTGTTGAGGAGCCTTTCAAGACCATCACCTTACCCTACATTGCTGGGGTCACAAAAAAGATCTCCAAAATCCTGATAAAACACAAGATCCAGGTCCGATTCAACACAGTACATAAAATTTGTGATTTGGTCCCGTCTGTAAAAGGTGTGGTTCCAGACATACAGTACCCTGGCGTCTACAAACTAAGTTGCCTCTGTGGTAGCAGTTACATTGGAGAAACCAAACGACATGTCTCGGACCGCATCCGTGAACATAAAGCAGACTTGAAACACGGTAGGACTAACACCTCAGCCGTGGCAGATCACTGTTACAATTCAATGGGCTCACATGATATTGACTTCTCCAAGACAGAGGTTCTCTGCAAGCCATCTGGCTACCATGAGAGATTCGTTCATGAGGCGATCCACATATACAAACACAGAGACAATTTCAACCGAGAAGATTGATTCTGGCTTAGCAATCATTGGAAGGACGTAATAAACCATTTCGGATCTTAACTGATTGTGTTCACGTTTACGGTGACTTTCAGACCGCGTTCCACTCACTGGCATTGTATTCTCTGCAGGGAATGGATTCTTTGCTCCGCTGCAAGTTTCCCCGCACTACTCACCCATTGACATATTTTGTTGCTTCTTCTTAGTATCTTTCACATGACGGTCAATGGTACAGTGTATAATAACAAATAGTATAACATTTATATGCTTAATACAATGTACAAAGTAATATATAGTATCATTGTATAGTCAATATACAGCAGTGTGATATATATTAGGGTGGGTAGAATAATACGTAGTTCAATATTACAATGTATAAGGTTTAGGGTGATTTATAGCAATACAGTATGTAATTTAATGTTGGGTTTGTCTATGGCAGTATATAGTACGGTGTAGACTCGTGTGATGTAAGAGAATAAAGTTTAGATGGAAGCATATTATATATTTTTACGACTTAGAATTGTAATGTATTA